GGAGAGAGAGAGAGAGAGAGAGAGAGAGAGAGAGAGGGAGAGAGGGAGAGATCGAGAGAGAGATAAAGAGAGAAAAAGGGAGAGAGAGAGAGAGAGAGAGAGAGAGAGAGAGAGAGAGAGAGAGAGAGAGAGAGAGAGAGAGATTAACAAAAGTGGTGTGTTCGGGAGAAAAGCCACCCCCCCGCCCCCGGTGGGGGAATGGGAAGGGGGAAGGGGGATGAAGGTTAGACAAAAAAGAACGAAATATTAAAATGTCATGTTTTGTTTTGGGTTTAACTCGTAAATGACATCAGTTACTTTCCAACATGGGGACTACTTTTTATGATGTCGTGTTTGTTTACGTCTGTCTGCTGTAACATGTCCCAAAACAGCCCCAGTAAATGGCCTTGACCTTCACATGCATGGCCAAAGCAGCAAGCGTCCCGAATCAGCGAAATAGTGCTGAGCTGAGAGTTAAACATTTACCCAAACAATGATACGCCCAAGGTTGAAATTGACTTCCTTCAGTGATTGGCTCTGCGTAAGTTAAGTGCCTTGTCTGAGGGAACACAACTACTACTACTACTATTACTACTACTACTACTACTACTACTACTAGATTTACTACTACTACTACTAGATTTACTACTACTACTACTAATAATAATAAAGGTAAGAAGAAGAAGAAAAAGAAGAAGAAGAAGAAGAAGAAGAAGAAGAAGAAGAAGAAGAAGAAGAAGAATGATAATAATTGTAATAAATAGCTTTTCAATAGCGCACAACCCTGCTCTACAGCAAGGTCTATGCGCTTTGCACTATATATTTAATACCACAGCAGACCATAGAACACTGAGATACATTCTCAGTTTCCCAGGAAGCATACAGTTTAAGCAGCTGATTAAGCGCTCAAACACTAACAAGCTGACAAGATCTTTCACTGTCTATAGCTGGGTACCAATTTCCACCTGGGTGAAGTGAGGAAAAAATGGTGTGAAGTGCATTTTCCAAGGACACAACATTGGGCCCTTGACAGGATTCGGACCCACGACCTTACGGTTGCGAGTCTGAGAGCCTAACCATTTGGCCACCAATGCCACAAGCTACTTTTTTGTTAAGATCTTAGCCTCTAAACCAGCTTCTACCATATGGAGTGGAAAAGTGTCTCCTACAAAGGTCGAAAAAATATAATTCCCGTATTATAAGAGTTAAAAAAGTGGCAAGTTTCGAACAAAATAGGAGCCACAACCAACATCCATACAGAACTTGGGAAAAATTCACTGTCACATTTTAATGGCCCAAAGAGGGTGCCTGTGTGAGTGTAAAAGAGCTTACTTTGGAAAACGTCCGAAAAATAATTTCAGACGATCAGTCACAAGTGAATGAAATGATGGGATAAGAAAACAGCATGCTCCGAGGTGAATGACATTGATAAAGATTGTGAAGCACTGTGTCAGGGCACTATGACTTTTCGAAGGTCCAGCGAGGTCGCAGAAATAAAAACAGAAGACAGAGAGAGCAACAAAGGGACGGAGGGAGAAAGGGAGAGCGAGGGAGAGAGCGAAAGAGAGAGAGAGAGAGAGAGAGAGAGAGAGAGAAGGAAAGAGAGAGACATATATAGAGAAAAGGAAAGCGAAAGACACAGAGAGAGAGAGAGAGAGAGAGAGGGAGAGAGAGAGACAGAGAGAGAGAGAGAGAGAGAGAGAGAGAGAGAGAGTAGATCACTGTCTTGTCTCGCCGCAGACAGGTCACGAAAAGACAAACAATCTCAAGGACAGGATGATAAGTCTGACATGTTCCTACTACCACCTGTTATTACATGCTTTTGCCTCGTTCTCTTCCATCATAGTAGCACATTTGTGAGGCAACGTGGTGGAATCAGGCTCTCGTCAAAATAGTCAAAATGAAGAAACTTGCGTTTTGCCGCAGGTTTGTGAATTTTTATCAAATTTTTGTTTTTCGGCTCAACACCTTTCATGCCCATTAAAGAACTCATTTCTGTGTGGATTTTTCTGAAAAAGCGTTGATTAAAGGCATAAAAATGTAAATTTTCAGTTACCACGGACTGTTAAGCTAAGGAAATAACTAATCTTTGGGGGCCATTTTCTCACTAATTTTACCCCCGAAAACAGGTGACCCCCACCTCCTTCTTTTGCAAATATCCCGACTTGTATTAAACATAAATGGATATCTTTTTCATCCAAATAAAGACAAGTGAACAAGCTTTAAGATGATACCAATAGCTCTACATGTCTAAAAATTGACGAGAACCTGATTCCACCACGATGCCTCACATTTCTCTATCGTAATGGCAAAAGTAATTTAACCCTATCCGTACGTCGTGTTTTATGATACGATATGGCGAGCTCTGTGCCACCACTTTCCAAAGAGGAAATTTACTCGTTAATCCGATTCGTACACTTTGCATAGCAGTTAGTAGCAGTCTGTCAAAATGATTTTTTGAGAAATACTGAACGTTTCAAAGAAATCTTCGTAGTAGAGGTAGTCTAAAGTGTGAAGAATAAAACCCCGGGAGTACAAAATGACCCCAGGGCGTACGGATTGGGTTAATGTACAAGTTTTTACGCGCCCATCGACACAGTTTAGGTCATTTAGAAGGAGAGATTCCGACCCTGTTTGACTGGGCCAATCCGGACTGAAAGGCATACAGCGTCCCAGCAGAAAGATTGAGGTACTTGGTAAAACTTTTCCCCACCAAAGTAGCAAGTACTCATAGACTTGAGGTTTAACAAGACATTCGGGGTAAGAATAATAATATGATCCCAGGGGCCCTCGCTTCATAAGTCTCAACCTTGACATTTCTTATGAGCGGACGGGTGTTGGAAGGGAAGGGTGGAAGACAGAGTGTTAGAGAAAGAGAGGGAGGAGTGAGGGTATTAAAAAGGGGGGGGGAGAGAGAGAGAGAGAGAGAGAGAGAGAGA